ACCCATCGCCAAAATTGCATATATTATGGACTCTTCTGAAACGCCTACGCAATGTCATATGCCGACAACACTTCGTAACGAGATTATTTGCTTTTCGTTTTGCTATGAACTTCTTTTGTTTTTCTTTCTTTTTTTTTTTTGCTTAAAAACCAACTGCAGAAAAACCTACTGTTATGGATCTGACAGCGTGTATAAACACACACACACGCGCGCGCACACACACACACACACACACACATATATATATATATATATATATATATATATCGAAATAAAAGTATAAAACTTAATATTACGAGACATATTAAAAAAAACGGGCGAAGCAACCGGTTTCGCTCCCGCTCTTCAGGCTTCAACGGAAGATTTAAAATTGACACAGAAAAATGTACAATAAAAGGAATTGTAAAAAAAAAAAAAATAAACAATAAAAAAAAATTAAAAAAAAAAATTTTTATCTCTCGTTGAAGCCTGAAGAGCGGGATCGAAACCGGTTCCTTCACCCGTTTTTTATTTTAATATGTCGCGTAATATTAAGTTTTATACTTTATTTCGATCATTAAATTTTGTACCCACAACAATATCTTTTAATATATGCATATATATATATATATATATATATATATATATATTTACATATGCATACACACACAAACACCCCCCCACACACACACACACATATATATATATATATATATATATATATATATATATATATATATATATATATATATATATATATATATATATATATATATATATATATATATATATAGTTCTTTTATGTTTTAAGTGTTTTGAATGTATGCATATGGGAGTGCGTATACACATATTTACAATCATATAAATTACATTTATAAATATGTATACATGTGTAGTTTTTTCCGTTTCGAATGTATATAGTTTTTCTTGTGTTTGTATGTGCGTGGGTGTGCCTTTTTGTAACACGGTTCATGTGCACCATGCAGATGTTATGAAAAGCTAATTTGTTTATTTACTCGATCTCGAATACTAATTAAGGAAAAGTTTGAAACTGCAAACTAAAGTTCTATATTCGCTTAATTGCAAGTCATCGAATGCTTAATCAAATATATTTCTCGTGATGCAATTTTACGATATATGCAACTCAGATACTGAAAGAAAAACATTGTTTCTTTATAAAAACAAAAACTGACGGTTTCATAAATAGATAAACATGGAAGCAAAATGACATCTATCACCTTCGTATCTAGGAACATATGTGCGCATACACAGCAACAAACATTCATATAAATATCTAAAGTCCAAATTAAAAAATAGTTTTAGCCAGCACTTTCCCATTTATAGTTGCAGTCATCTGACCGGAGTGAGAGACAGAACCGTGTGAGGGAAAAAATGAGGAAGAGACAATAAAATCTGTATCAGTTGCTGAAACAAAAGGATTGCAGATTCAAAAATAAACCCCTAAACAATATTCAACATCAAACTTTAACGACGTGTACAAGAGTAATTTAAAATTTTGTAATTTCTAAAATGTTTATTTTGTTCTATGTCAAATAAAAAAGCATAACAAATATAAAAGAATATATTTGTTATATATATATATATATATATATATATATATATATATATATATATATATATATAATGTAATGAAATGTTATGGATAATCCCAAGGAGGATGTAATCCAGAGAGCTCAATGTAAAACTTGCAGACTGGCCACAGATTCTCGATTGGGTTTAAATCAGGAGAGTTTCCGGGCCAGTCTATAGTACTTTGATTTGCTCACTGGTAAGGCCTGCCAGTGTGTTCGCGTAGCATGACAATTTTCGCACGCTTCCTTAGAATAATATCCATCAGAGACAATGGCCGCTGGAGAACTAATCGACAGTCGAGACAGTAATCTCTCGTCGTGATAAAAATCTGATGCAAACACGGATGACGCAATATTTTTCAAGGTTAAACAAATTTCATCATACACCCTGAAAATAGATTCATATTACTGCACCCCACTGCAAATGACCTAATCTGAGAAAAAAATAGAAATCGATTACACCCTGTCACTCCAGTGGGTTTTAAACAGACCGTATGAAAGAAAGCAAACTAAAGCGGTTGTTTCAATTAATTTGCACAAGGGTGTAAATGATAGAAATTTGGGGAGGGTTGAATAATCATTTATAGTAATTCATCGAGTCGAGAAGAATCCTCAACAGAATGCAGAAAGCACTGGAAGGCCGTTTCGACTTATTTGGGACTTATCATCAGTGCGCATCTACTACCAAGAATCGAACCCGGACAGTTACGATACAACAAGGTAGGGAACGGCTTGGGAAAAGAAGTCCTGGGTCTCGGGGCACAATCCGTTAAGTTTCGTATATTTGGATGAGCATCACCACAGAATTTAGTGAGTAGCGGCGGGGGTTATGAAGTTTTCTGCATTCTGTTAAGGATTCTTCTAGACTCGATGAATTATTAAATATATATATAGATAGATAGATAGATAGATAGATAGATAGATAGATACACCTAGTGAGCCAGACAAACCTACCTCGTCAGGGAAAGTAAGGCTTACTTTCCCTGGCAATCCGTTTAGGTGAAACCTAGGTAGGTTTGTCTGGCTCACTAGGTTTATCTAGGTCTGCTCTACGGTTGTATTGAGCTCTTTTGTTAGTTAGTTGTTTACTTGTATCGGGGTTTTTTCTTTGGGCTTCAGACCTGTATCTGTGCGATTTTTTGTCGGCAGAAGTTCATGTTTGTAGCTCTTTCTTTTTTTAAAAAACTTTTTTGCCCTCGAGATTGATTTGATTATTAGCAAATCAAAAATTCGAGGGTTTTTCGAAACGAGTCTAGTTATTCATAAATATATATATATATATATATATATATATATATATATATATATATATATATATATATATATATATATATGTATGTCCCGGAAAGGATATATTAGCTAAGTGGGTTTGGCCACTGTAACCAAGTAGTACACGGTAGCAGTAATCGACGGATACTCGTCGTAGTCGCAGGTAATAGGTGTAGACCAATAGGATAACCAATAGCGTCGTCCAATGGGCGTCGTCATAGACTTAAACTCTGTGGTACCTACACGTCCGTCTGTATTTATGATGGACACCAGCCAATCATATTCCAGTGAGGGGGAACACAGGTGTATGCATATTGCTTTATATTAGGTACCTCCACGAAATGTAAACAAAAAGAGCATAGCATGATGAAAAAGACGCCGAACTTGACGAAAACAAAATTTTATCGTCTAATGTTCATATTATTATTAAAGAGGAAAGATCAATGTATTTTGGGGTATTTTTTTACATTTTTTAATCGTCCCTAACACGTCCGAAATTTTCGTTAAAAATCTTGTTTTTTTTTGTCAAAAAAAAGGACAGATAATCCATCATTTTCAATCATTGTTTCCATTTTATAAAAAAGATGAAAATCTCACTTTGACATTCTTTTAAAAATCAATTATCATTTTTTCAAAACTTATTTTAAGAAAATCAGAAATTATAATGTTTATTTAAAATATTTTGAACCAAGCTTAACTTATATTCTGCGCCGAAAAAATGTAATTTGAAAATAAAACAAAGCAGGTCATAACCTTTCGCGTCACTTGACAGGTGACGAAAGACATTTTCATGACGTTTAGATAACTTACGGTAGGATAATTCTACGGATGAACGGAAGTGAAATTATTTAGATTTAAGTGAACAAATTATTTACCTCGTTACTTTTAAGGAAAACTTTCAGCGCTCTAATTTTTTAAATTCTTTTCTTTTTTGTACTTAGCTTTCATCTTTACGTTTACGATGCTTTATGGAAAATATATTATAAAGAAATTAAAAAATAAGTCTGTTAAGAGTGAGATTAAATTTCATAGGAAAGGTATCTAATTAATTTATAGGTACCTTTCTTATGAAATTTTATCAGAAGTGTACATAAAATACTATAATTTTATGTACATTTATTACATTTTACTGTGTTATTTGTATTTCCATTCATTTTATTATTAATTTTGATATTTCATTTATGGAAAAATGTCATAACTGAGATTAATATAAAAATAAGATCATATAAATTAAAGTTTAGCAGCAGTAGTTAAATTTCATAAGGTGATACTGATACTTGTAGGTACCCTTCTCAGTTGAAATTGAAAAATCAAATTAACTTCTCCATACGTGTTTCGCAAAAGTAAAGGCCTTAACAGCGGAGAACAATGCTGAACTCAAATAAAGCAACTTAATTGTATTCTGGTTGGTCTTCCGTACTTTATAATTACCACCCGATTATAAACACAAAATTACATTTCTTAATTACTGCGGATCTTCTGACTGGTCAAAATGATACAATTTTCAAAGCGCTAGAAAATGATCTATCTGATAAGGACACTTAGAAAAACCGATGTGGCTTTTAACTAATTTTATAATATTTTTTAAAAACTTAATGTAAATATCTATTATAATTAAAGATATAACAAATAATTGTTTTAAAAATTCAATTTTTATTGAAAAATTTTTTTGCTTTCAGAAAATATTGTCCATATTCATAAAAACAACTAAAAACAAATAAAAGCATTTGAAATGAAATAGTATCATTGTTTTATTGAGTTTTGTATGTCACAATTCAGAGCTGATTTTCAGGTACGGCGGATCCAATTAAAAAAACATGATTTGCATTCTTCAAGCCTTGTGCTTTTCACTATTGTAATCACTAAAGTTGATGTGATCGAATTTCTAGAGTTTTTCATAAAATTAGTTATGGGGGTGTTAATAAATATAAAAAAAACATATTTCTGGCATGACTTTAATAAAAAAAAAAAAAAAAAAAAAAAAAAACATATTTATAATAATTTCGATCATCTGTGAAAGATTTCATGAACATCCGACAATTATTTTTATTTTTGCAAGATTTTCCAAATTAATGTGTGTAATACAAAAAAAAAAAAAAACGTGTTAAAAATTGTCGGTTATTTTACTAGCCCCTGTTGGTACAAAGAGAAACAAGGTGTTTTTAATCAAAATTTAGAAAGTTCTAAAAAGAAGGAAAATTTTTAAGAAATAATTAAAAAAAACCTTTGGTCTTTCCTCTTCATAATAACATAAGCATTTATACGATAACATTTTGTTTTCATAAAGTTTGGCGTCTTTTTCATCAGACTATGCCCTTTTTTTAGCGATTTTCGGGAGTTACCTACATATCATATATATATATATATATATATATATATATATATATATAGTTGACTCGTATTTAACGTATGAGGTTTCAGGCAGCTCAGCTCCTAAGAACTGACAGCCCGACACCTGCACAAGTGATTTGATTATAATGTTGAAGGTTTGTGCAGAACCATCCACATTTTTTGAAGGGCCGAATACTGAGACTTGATGCCCTACGTGCCACAAGGTCCCTAAACGACCTCGACAGGTTTCGAATTCTCCTAGACCAGTTGCCATCCAAGGCTATAGAACATATATATATTACTAAGGGGATTTAAATAATCATACATTTTTATAGTAAAAATTTCCAGCAATAGATTTTAGTAGTAAAAACACATTTACAGCAGGAGATTTAAATAGAAAACGAAAAATCAGCAATAGATTTTATTAAAATAAAATAATAATATTAGTAAAAAATTGTAGCAATAGATTTTAATAGTAAAAAAAATTAGCAATAGATTTTAATTGCCAAAAAATTGTATCAATATAGTTTAATAGTAAAAAAAAATTTAGCAATAGATTTTAATAATAAAAAATTATAATAGATTTTAACTGTAAAAAATTTACCAATAAATTTTAATAGTAAAAACATTTTAGCAATAGATTTTAATAGTGAAAAAATTGTTGCAATAGATTTCAATAGTAAAAAAAAATTAGCAAAAATTTTAATTGTAAAAAAATTTAGCAATAGATTTCAATAGTAAAAAAATAGCAATAGATTTTAATTGTAAAAAAATTTTAGCAATAGATTTTAATAGCAAAAAAAAAATTAGCAATAGAATTTAAAATATCCAATAACAGTGTTTTATAGTAAAAAGAAATTCTACGAATAGTTTTTAATAGAAAAAAAAATTCATCAATATTTTAATAGTAAAAACAAAAATTAAAACAGCAAAGAAAATTAAATTGCGGCATTAAATGACCCATGAGGAGTTGATATGCCATTAAATAAACCGAACCAAACTAAACGAATCATTCCCCACGCTTAAAGATAATCTCAAGTTCAATAGTTTTGAAGATGAGAAAGGTTGTGACAAGAGTGCTGGACACCTAAAATTTCGATGACTACCATGTGAATTTCATGAAATTACTGGAGAGTTACGACAAGTGCAATGAAGTCAGTTGATCCTACTTTCAAGAGGATTAGAGTTTTGCACTTCATTGAAATTAATAAATAACTATCCTGACAAAGTCTGAAAACCTTGCATATATGTGCTCGTAGCATGTGTGCGTGTGATTGTGAATTCAGGAAGTTGTATATAAGGCGATATAATAACGTACCTAGAGAGACTGAAGCTCAAGAGACATAGAATAAAGATTAAATATAAGTTATAGTTTGTTTTACTATTATGGCGTTAAAGCGTATATGGTCTAAAATTGCCTGAACTGTTTAAATGATAGTCGAGCAAATGCACAAAGTGCCAGCCAGTTACAGAAAAAACGCTTTATTCCGTAGATAATTTTGCTCTTTTTTTTATATTTTAACACTCCTTTCATGCTTTAATTATTTATTTTATTTACAACCACCTCGGCATTTTCAATCTGTAATATAATTCACATGGACTTCTACTATTACGGGACAAAGACAAAGCTTCGATAGAGTGAGAAGCACTGAATCCAGGAAAAAAATGTTACAAAATATGATTTGTTCACCTTTCTATTTTGGGAAAGATTAGATTAAATTTTCTTTTCAGTCTTTCTTTGAAACGAAGTTAAATCAATTGATGTAACTGGTTGTTTCGTTTAATATTTGAGATCTGCTTTCATATCTATCTATCTATCTATCTATCTATCTATCTATCTATCTATCTATTTCAGTCTGTTCATATCTATCTATCTATCTATCTATCTATCTATCTATCTATCTATCTATCTATTTCAGTCTGTTCATATCTATCTATCTATCTATCTATCTATTTCAGTCTGTTCATATCTATCTATCTATCTATTTCAGTCTATTTCAGTCTGTCTATCATCCATCTATCTATCTATCTATCTATTTCAGTCTGTTCATATCTATTTCTATTCATATATCTATCCATATCTATCTATCTATTTCAGTCTGTTCATATCCATCATCTATCCATCTATCCATCTATCTATTTCAGTCTGTTCATATCTATCTATCCATCTATTTCCAGTCTATTTCATCTATCTATCTATCTATCTATCTATCTATCCATTCATCTATCTATCTATTTCAGTCTGTTCATATCTATTTCAGTCTGTTCATATCTATCTATCCATCTATCTATCTATTTCAGTCTGTTCATATCTATCTATCTATCTATCTATCTATCTATCTACTTCAGTCTGTTCATATCTATCTATCTATCTATCTATCTATCTATTTCAGTCTGTTCATATCTATCTATCTATCTATCTATCTATCTATCTCAGTCTGTTCATATCTATCTATCTATCTATCTATTTCAGTCTGTTCATATCTATTTCAGTCTGTTCATATCTATCTATCCATCTATCTATCTATTTCAGTCTGTTCATATCTATCTATCTATCTACTTCAGTCTGTTCATATCTATCTATCTATCTATCTATCTATTTCAGTCTGTTCATATCTATCTATCTATCTATCTAGTCTATTTCAGTCTGTTCATATCTATCCATCTATCTATCTATTTCAGTCTGTTCATATCTATTTCATCTATTCTATCTATCTATCCATCTATCTATCATTTCAGTCTGTTCATATCTATCTATCTATCTATCTATCTATTCAGTCTGTTCATATCTATTTCAGTCTATTCATCTCTCATCTATCTATCTATCTATCTATTTCAGTCTGTTCATATCTATCATCTATCTATCTATCTATTTCATCTGTTCATCTATCTATCTATCTATCTATCTATCTATCGATTCTATTTCAGTCTGTTCATATCTATTTCAGTCTGTTCATATCTATCTATCCATCTATCTATCTACTTCAGTCTGTTCATATCTATCTATCTATCTATCTATCTATCTATCTATCTATCTATCTATCTATCTATTTCAGTCTGTTCATATCTATCTATCTATCTATCTATCTATCTATCTATCTATTTCAGTCTGTTCATATCTATTTCAGTCTGTTCATATCTATCTATCTATCTATCTATCTATTTCAGTCTGTTCATATCTATCTATCTATCTACCTATCTATCTATCTATCTATTTCAGTCTGTTCATATCTATTTCAATCTGTTCATATCTATCTATCCATCTATCTATCTATTTCAGTCTCTTCATATCTATCTATCTATCTATCTATCTATCTATCTATCTATCTGTCTATTTCAGTCTCTTCATATCTATCTATCTATCTATCTATCTATCTATCTATTTCATTTCTGTTCTGTTCATATCTATCTATCTATCTATCTATCTATCTATCTATCTATCTATCTATCTACATCTCTATTACATCTCAATTTTCGTTGTCCTCTTATTACCGAGAAGTAAAAACAAGAACAAATCTATTTCCATACCTGAGGATGTCTGTAGGAACAAACGAAAGCTTGTAAAAAAATTAAAAAGACCTTATGCAACTGGAATTTATAATCAGGGACCATATCATTCATCTACAGGTTCGGGGTTGGTGTATCTTTTTGATATTGTTTGCGAAGATATATTCTCGCCATTTAAATCATTAACCTCTTTATTTGTTTTATTGTATGAATGATTCATGAATTTATATATATATATATATATATATATATGTCTATCTTTCTGCCTATTTGTCAGTCCATCAATCTGTCTGTATGTTTCAATTCGTTATCATCTCTCTCTCTCTCTCTCTCTCTATATATATATATATATATATATATATATATATATATAACATAAATATATATATCCAACGATTTTCAGTGGAAGCAAAATAATATTTGTAATAACCATTATTCAAACCTAAGATCACATGGGAAAATTGGGCAATTTAGCATTGGTGGTAATGGCAATATTTTGCATGTGATCTTTTCTCAATCGGTCTATATTCCATGTACTTGTTTTATAAAGGACTATTACACCGTCATCTGTATTGAGTCTGGTGGCCTTAATATCGAAATTATATCTTAGTCACCGAAGTAACAAGATTCCAACGATTTCACATGCCTTTGCTGACACATATGATTCCATCGCAATATTAAAGTGTGGGTTATTTCTTTTGGTCTACAGATAACCATTATGAAATAATATAGGTTTTTGTGCCTGCTTTATAATAATCATTTCGCCATCGCGAATGGGGCGGTAATTTTTTTCTAAATTTCTAGCAGATATTAGCAGATTTTTGGTGCTGGACGGCCAAAAAGTCACAAATATCGAATTGGATGAATGCATTTTCATTCTTTCTTTTTATATTAGTAAATCATTCTATGGCTTCTGCTGTTTTATGCCCCTGGTTAATTTCTAGAATATCTTTCGCTGCTATTTGCATGGATGTTTTTTGCTGATTTTACCGATATTATTTTTAGCTGATTAATCGGTATTGAGGAATTTGCTTTGTATTATTCAAATGCTTATTTTTAATTCTTGTTTATCGTTCTATCAATCGGTCTATCTATCTATCTATCTATCTATCTATCTATCTATCTATCTATCTATCTACCTCAGTCTTTTCATACCTATCTATCTATTTCAGTCGGCTCAGATCTACCTCAGCTTGTTCATATCTGTCAACCCATGTGTTTTAAAATCTGTATGGTCATTTTGTTTTTATCTATCTATCTATCTATCTATCTATCTATCTATCTATCTATCTATCTATCTATCTGTCTGCCTGTCTGTCTAAGTCAGCTCAGATCTACCCCAGCGTGTTCATGTGACACGATAACTAGGCGTCTATTAAAGTTGATTTGTAAAATATGTATTTTATTTTAATAAATTAAGAATAGAAAACGGTTAAGAATAGAAAAATAGTTTAAAAACATGTGTTTCGTTTAACAAAAGTACTAAGGAAATAAAGAAAAGATAACAGAATTTCCCCTTTCTCCAGGCAATAAAAAAAGAAAAGGGCTATAAAAACATCCGACGGCCTTCACACGAATATTTGTTAAGATAAAAAGATTTAAAAATCCTGGAAAATACGTCGTGGGAGGCCGATTACAGACAAGGATTTTTACACATCAAAGAAAGCAAAATTTAAGTGCCTTGAAATTTTTTAACTTACAGTCGCCAATGCTTATCTTTTGTTTTCACCCGGTGGTCTAGGGACTTCCGATTAGTTCAATATAAATACGAGTGATTTTTCCGAGCCGGGCAGTTCAGCCGGGTGTGTGCTTGAAGTAGCCACGTGTTAATTATTTATTAACATAAATATGTTATAACATATTTATGTTAGAAATTTTTTAAAATAAATAATTAAATATATATATGTGTGTGTGTGTGTGTATATATATATATATATATATATATATATATATATAAATAAATATATATATATATATATATATTAATCTTTTATTTAGTTTTTTCCAGCATTCTAACATTTTTCGGTTTTTAGTTGTTAAAAAACTGGAATTCTACATAGGTATAATTGTTCCAATTATGGAAAATTCTTATATTCCTGAAAAACGAAAAATGTTAAAGGCTGGAAAAAACAATGAAAGATTAATTAAATCTTCCTTGTCGCCTGTTTTCAATGAAGGATGCATCAAAGAATGGTTGCTGCTCAAATAAGATTTTATATATATATATATATATATATATATATATATATATATATATATATATATATATATATATATATATAAACGTGCAATCAATTTACAAATACATGAATTATTCACACAAAACTAATGCAAAGGTTAATGCTTTAAATGGCGAGACATCCATCATCGCAAACAGTTCAAATAGTATACAAAACCTCCAGATCCGTTATGAATGAATTGATCCTTGTTTATATAAATTTCTGCCGTATTAGTTGTTATTTTTACTACAAGCTTTCGTCTGTTCCTACAGACATCTTCAGGTATAGAATAGATGTTGTTCTTGGTTTTTTCTCTTAGTAATAAGAGGACAACGAAAATATGTGTTGTTGTATCCGAAAATGCTATTGAAAATGAGTTATTGGTTTTGGAACGCGCCAAAGCAACGCTGAGTTTGATTTTAAATTTTAAAGTGTTTGCGTTTATACCAAATATGGTGTTGAACAAATTTTTTTACTGGTAAATTTTTCTGTCAAAGTGGCATGAACTATATTGTTCAATAATTACAGTAATGTCGCACTTATTATCCAAAAGTCGCACTTGGATCAGTTATTTAAATTACGATAAACGTGCAATCAATTTACAAATACATGAATTATTCACACAAAACTAATGCAAAGGTTAATGCTTTAAATACGTTCTTTTTATAGATACAAATATTTAAGTAAATGTTCTGTTTATAATAAACAGTATTAAAATATGCGTCATCCGACAGGAATCGAACCTGTAACCTATACGGAACCGCCATATAGCCTGACCTGCTTTTGCCGATAAACAAATATTTTCTGTGAAAATTTCTCGGACATTCAGACCGGAAAATGTTGTTTAATACTGTTTATTATAAACAGGCCATTTACTTAAATATTTGTATCTATAAAAAGAATGTATAAACAAAAAATGTTGAAAATAATTGTCGAACTTTGTCCATTCCATAATGTGTGACGTCATTTGTTTACATTTGATACGCCATGAGCAGATATGAATGTACGTGAGAGATTCATAGAAGATTGAAGTTTAAATACAGTTAATTCGTCCTTGCTGACCGAACGCTCCTTCGTGGCCAAATCGGTAAAGGCACGTCAAGCTAAATGACAGTTCCGTATAGGATACAGGTTCGAATACTGTCGGAAGACGAATATTTTCTGTGACAATTTCTCGGACATTCAGGCCGGTAAATGTTGTTTAATACTGTTTATTATAAACAGAGCATTTACTTAAATATTTGTATATATAAAAGTCACGTATAAACGAAAAATGTCTCAAAATAATTGTCGGACTTTGTCCATTTCATAATGTGTGACGTCAAATATATATATATATATATATATATATATATATATATATATATATATATATATATATATATTACATGCTTCTGAAAAGAATTATTTCCATTGAGCTCTCAGGGAGAAAAGTGAACTTGTAAAGAGTGATTATGACTGCTGCTAATGCAAGACTCTTCGTTAAGACGAATCAAGTTCTCCAGGCACTGGCGTGTTTATCTAATAATAAATATGTCTAAATTCACCTTCATCCCTGCCGTACGCCAATGGCTTAGGGCTAGATACCAAATCACTCGCAATCTGCCTGTGGATAACACTATATATATATATATATATATATATATATATATATATATATATATATATTAAAACGAGAAAGTAATTTACGAAGTCGAAACTGTAAACAACAGGCACTAAGTCGTACGTTTTCAGTGCTAAATTTGACTAAAGTAAAATGACACATGTCTTAATAAATATTCTTTTGTCATAGTGATGAATATTTAAAAGTGACAGTGATAAAAACAAAAGCGTTGGCCAGCTAAATGAAATCGGCAGAGCCTTTTCGTCTAGACAAGACGGACGCCAGAATAATTTTTAGAATTTTGCGTCCCGCCATCATCATAATCATAACGGAAGTTGTCTTTTATATTTTCACATGTCCTCCATAATATATACGAATTCGTTTCAACCAATGTAATTGCATCAATAGGCACATTACTTTAAAGGACGAAACGCATTAAAATATAATTTCATTGGTTTTGTCATTCTACGAATCAACATTGTTCTGATAGATAAACATATACACCTATAAATAGTACATTACAAGAAGAGTTAATTTTGATTTTTTTAAGTATGAATAATAATAATAATAATAATAGATAGATAGATAGATAGATAGATAGATAGATATGAACAGACTGAGATAGATAGATAGATAGATAGATAGATAGATAGATAGATAGATATAAAATGACTGATATAGATAGATAGATAGATAGATAGATAGATATGAACAGACTGAGATAGATATGAACAGACTGAGATAGATAGATAGATAGATAGATAGATAGATAGATAGATAGATAGATAGATATGAACAGACTGAGATAGATAGATAGATATGAACAGACTGAGATAGAAATGAACAGACTGAGATAGATAGATAGATAGATAGATAGATATGAACAGACTGAGATAGATAGATAGATAGATAGATAGATAGATAGATAGATAGATGAGATAGATATATGAACAGACTGAGATAGATAGATAGATGAATAGATAGATAGATAGATAGATAGATAGATAGATATGAACAGATAGATGAATGGATAGATAGATATGAACAGACTGAGATAGATAGATAGATAGATAGATATATGGATAGATAGATGAGATAGATAGATAGATAGATAGATAGATAGATATGAACAGACTGAGATAGATAGATAGATAGATAGATATGAACAGACTGAGATAGATAGATAGATAGATAGATAGATATGAACAGACTGAGATAGATAGATATGAACAGACTGAGATAGATAGATAGATAGATAGATAGATAGATAGATAGATAGATATGAAAATATCCATAATAGCAATACTTTTATTTGTCGCGCGTTACCATCGCTTATCATTCTTACATACACAAGGAACTAATAACGTACACAATAGCGCGTCTTTCTGCCGAATGTAACCTTCAATTATTGACTAATTTCGCTAACCATCTATGCTATCACTGTCTTTTCACTGGTTAATTCTATCTGCAAATTTACATTAGTTTTAAAAACATCTCTGCTGTTAGTTCTCTAATTATTATTCCCAACTCAGTGAATATTTGCACACAAAATATGTGTAGTTTTTTCGCTTTTCATTAATTCTATTCTACGACTTTTTTCCCTAGAATTTTTCTTTCTGAAATACTCCCTCATCCTAATAAACTCCTAGTCTTAGACGTCACTCTTTTGATATTTAACGAGTTTGAAACAGCAAAAATTGATTTCTTATTTTTTTAAGTCTTATCAACCCTTTGAATGTCATTTAAATTGTAAGAATATTTCTTTTTTTGCGAGAGAATATTGCAGTAACAATCTTTTCTTTTTACTTCAGAATAGTAAATGATATTTCCAGATATAATTCTTATTATTTAACCCATAGATGGGGAATGGAAATGGGTTAATAGCTTTTCCAAGGGGATTTCCGCGTAAGTGAATGTAGAGAAACAACTGAAATTTGAACTCGGCTCTCCGATTTCTCATTGAAACAGAAATAAATTGGATGAAAATGGTGTGCGTTGGTCTGGTTAAACGAATCTGCCGACTGAGGAACACGTGCTTGTCTTGAAAATCAGCATTCAAAATCCTGGCATTTTACCTGGGATTGAACAAGCTGTCTCTGCCACTAAGTGGGAACACGTATCTGTAGCAAGACGGAGCAGTCATCGTCAAAGAGTTAACCACAATAACAAGCATTCGTTTCCTTAAATAAACACAAACGCTGTCTATGACGATGTCTCTGGGAGAGACGCTCACACATACACAGGTATTTCGGCGTGCGAGCGCTAAAATACCTCTACTCAATTAATGTTCTCTCTCTCTCTGTCTCTCTCTCTCTGTCTCTCTCTCTTCTTGTTCATATCATTTCGAAATTTTTCTTGTTGCACATTCTCGATAAAGCTTTCATCTGACTACACGAATATAAGGACTTGATAGTAAGTTAATGTCTCATTAAGTTCTGTTAGCGAAGTGATTTCGCCAGATAGATTGTTTCTTTTATGATATAATATATAAGCTGCACAA